TTGACTTTTTTTCTCTCAGGTGAAAGCAAAGGAAGTTATTTGCCAAGCAGTTGAGCTGGTTCGTGAGCTTGTGTCAGGGATGTCTAACTTTCTTACCTACACTGAACAGGTATTTAACTGATGCAAGAGTAGAATGTTATTTATTCATACTTTCCCTCTATATACTTGGGCGGATACAGGATTTTAGGGAAGGGGGATCTAAGTATGGACTGCCAAAGGCATTTACACATGGGTGTACTCCTGGAAATCCAGAAAAAAAACTGATAGTTCTAAATTTATTAGGGAAAAGCATCTTAAATAATTAAGTCGGCTGGTTTGACAGTCTCTAGTCTTTCCTGTTAAACTTACTATCAATTAGCCCTAAATACTCAAAAATTTTTCCATGGTTTGATATATGAAATTAGAAAACAGTCCTAAGAAAATACACATGCTGATTGGTTAAAAATCGTGTTTCTATATCTTGATAGAAACACAGAACTAGCACGAGCTGTTGATGTAATGATGGCATGAGCAAACAGAATTTACATTTTGATAATCAAAGTAATAAGTTGTTTTCCTTTTTTCCGTCGTGGTGTTTTCTAAAAGAAATAGAAAACATGTTCTCCGTGTTTCTAGTGAGTTACAGAAACACTCATGAAAGTTTGGGAGAACTCAAAAGAGCTGTGGAAACACTTGCCTGCGGCTCGTGTTCCCACAGCATTTCTCGTTCTACCAAACTTCCACTCGTGTTTCTATAACTCAATAGAAACACGGTACATGTTTTCTATTTCTTAACTTTTCCTTGGAAAATGTGGGAAATGGCATTTCTGAGCCCCTTAAAATAAAACTTTCCTGAGGGGACATACCCCCAAGCCCCCTCAGAAGCTTGTGCCTTTGGCACTTGATTAACTTTTCTCTTTGGTGCATGCATGGTGCAAGAATGCATGTTATGTCCCTGGTATGAATTATACATTTCATATGAAGCAAATATTATGAAAGCCAGGGAGAATTGACATAGGTCTCNGCAAAGGAAGTTATTTGCCAAGCAGTTGAGCTGGTTCGTGAGCTTGTGTCAGGGATGTCTAACTTTCTTACCTACACTGAACAGGTATTTAACTGATGCGAGAGTAGAATGTTATTTATTAATACTTTCCCTCTATATACTTGGGCAGATACAGGATTTTAGGGAAGGGGGATCTAAATATGGACTGCCAAAGGTATTTACACATGGGTGTACTCCTGGAAATCCAGAAAAAAAAAACTGATAGTTCTAAATTTATTAGTCTCTAGTCTTTCCTCTTAAACTTACTATCAATTAGCCGTAAATACTCAAAAAATTTTCCATGGAAACACAGATCTAGCATGAGCTGTTGATGTAATGATGGCATGAGCAAACAGAATTTACATTTTGATAATCAAAGTAACAAGTTGTTTTCCTTTTTTCTGTCACATTGTTTTCTAAAAGAAATAGAAAACATGTTCTCCGTGTTTCTACTGAGTTACAGAAACACTCATGAAAGTTTGGGAGAACTCGAAAAAGCTGTGGAAACACTCGCCTGCGGCTCATGTTCCCGCAGCATTTCTCGTTCTACCAAACTTCCACTTGTGTTTCTCTAACTCGATAGAAACACGATACATGTTTTCTATTTCTTAACTTTTCCTTGGAAAAATGTGGGAAATGGCATTTCTGAGCCCCTTAAAATAAAACTTTCCTGAGGGGACATACCCCCAAGCCCCCTCAGAAGCTTGTGCCTTTGGCACTTGATTAACTTTTCTCTTTGGTGCATGCATGGTGCAAGAATGCATGTTATGTCCCTGGTATGAATTATACATTTCATATGAAGCAAATATTATGAAAGCCAGGGAGAATTGACATAGGTCTCTTTAAGTGTAATGTGCTGACCAATGCAAAGATATATTTTCATGAACAAAGAAAATGTTTGCCAGAAAAGGAGAAAATGTTTGCTATTAANTTATATACACAGTAGAACCTAAGGAACTTTGTTGTTGCATGGTTACTGTCTGTCAGTTTCCTTGCCTCACCTCCTTCCTCCTTCTTTTGGTCTCCTCTCTCTGCTCCTCTTCCCCTCCCCTCCCCTCCCCTCGATTCCTTTCGTCTCCTCACCTGTGTACTCCCCACATCTCCCGTCTTTGTTTTCCTCTACAGTGTTATCAACACATTTCCAGTCTAAGGTTTCCCTTGAGCACCAGCTGCCAACAGCCACACAGGTAAACCACTAGCTATCAGAGTGATTGTGTTTTTAAAAACAGTAGACCAAAGTTTCATTTCATTCTTCCAGTTCTTCTCCAGCTTTAGGGAATCTGAGATTTAGGCCTAAAAATTCCACATCACTGATCACAGACACTGCACAGATCTATGTATAGATACTTCATGAGTATAGAATTTTTCAGATTCAATCTCAGCTGGTTTTCATTGAGTGTGTGAAGAGATACATCTGTTAACTCAAACAAATAGCTAGCACAAAGCTAAGAAAACTGTAATTCAAAAGAGATTTGAGAAATGGCTAAATGAAAGCCAGCATGTTTCCTTAGTATTATTTGACTACAGTATCATTACTTTTGCAGACCTTGAAAAGTACAGATGAATGTATCGTGTCTTCTTTAGTTTCTCTGCTTACCGCCACAGCCAAGGTATTGTTTTACTCCTTGAAGGAGCTCAGTGACGGTAGTTTGAATTATTTTGGCCACGTACAAAACTACCTTTAAACTGAAGGACACCTGAAAATAATAGTTTACTAAGAAAGAAAAAACACCAAAGAGATAATAATAATTTATAAAGGAACAAGGAGGGTTAAGGATGGAGAAGATTAACACGAATTACAGACGACGAACTTGAAAAACGTAGGCTGAACTTTTCAAGATGTGCAAACCGTGACGTAGCCCCTTCAAAGTGTTCTTGTACCTTTTTCGTCAATGCGTAGAATATTGATTAATGCGTACATATTTTTCGAAATGGGCTCTGTTTAATGGTCTTTGTTTTTGTCCGCTTTGGTACTGTTGTGATACATATATAAACCATTGTTTTCATTTGAAACTAAAGCGGTTACCCACGTAGAGTTTGTTTTCATTTTAGTACAATGTATTTGATTTACTCTCGCTCACACTTGAACATTATCATGTTGTCTTGTAAAAGTATTTGTGTTAGTTCTCATTGAGCGATATAGGTGTTAATTCGTTGTTTACATTTTGTTTGTTTGTCCTTGTTTGATTATTTTTTTTTTTAATCAGATAGCAAGATTCATGAATAGCAACCTTGATTTCATCTCAACCAAGACTGGTGTCCGAACAAGGGGAATGACAACAGCAGTTGACAGTGAGGTGAAATTTGCCTTTGGGTTTTCTTGATGGTGTCTTGACACCCTATAGCCCCAGGCTGGACTCTGAAGTGTTAAATAATTAGATGCCAACTTTCAGAGAACATATGCAATGACTTTTTATTTTGCAATTAGATTATTCGCTCTTGATTTCTATCGCGTGGTAGAAATCAAGAGGAATAATCTAATTGTTTTAGTATAAATCTACTAGTCGTTGAAAACTTTATTTAAATCTTCTTCAAAGACTCTTCGAAAACGCAAAGAAGCGGCCGTCATTTTGTTAGCAACCGCACACTGCTACACTACTCACTATCTATCACAGAATAGATAGTGTGTAGCGTGGCTGATAAGTGTACGGCATTCGTGATAGAACGCTTGCAGATTGATAAGAATTCTTGATAGAGAGGTTATAGTCAAGAAAGTATAAAGGGGAAAAAGAAAATCTCAAAGAATCGCTCGTTTAAGGCAGGCAAAGGACGGCAAAAATGAGATGTTTAGGTTCAACTTTTGAGGGTCTGAGATAGAGTTGCCCTTTGCGATATATTTGACTTGCTTCAGCCGAGTTAGGAAGTATGCATTTGAAATCTCAGAAAACGAAACCTCTTCTTTACGTTATTGAGTCTGGGGGTCGGAGAAGATACTGTCGTGTATGGATTTTTATTTCTCCTACTCTGTGCAAAGTAAGAAATCATTTTAAGGGTCAGTAGTATTCCGTTCTCTTGATAGAACGGTTTCCATGTGAGTGTCGTAAAAGCAAAACCAAAGTAATCACTCTAGCCAATCACAAAGGACACAGACAGTACAATGAACCAATCAAAACTCGAAGTAATTACATGTAGCTGACGCGAAGCGCGGGAAAACGCGTGCGCACGAGTCACGATTTGGTTTGGTTTTGTTTCTGATTGGATGAAAAAGTGGCGTGAGTTTTTACGCCAATCATGTAGCGTAGTAAGTGCACAACCAATTACTTTTTCGACACTCAAATGAAAACCACTCCATTTGCCTTAATATTCATATTTTGAGGAAAAATTAATCCAAGCTTATCATCGTTGCATGTTTCTTTTAGCTAACGTCTTCACCAGCTGTTGTAGAGTTCAGGCATCATGCCGCTGACTACATTCAAAAGCTGATCAAGGTAGTGTGATCATTTCAGTAGANCTGTGTCTAGAGTAAGAAGGATTCATTATTTGAGATTTACTGGTGGGTATACTTCAAGTTGTTGAAAATCAGTGATCCCAAACATTATTACAACAAAGTAACTGTGAAGTTTCTCTGACATTATTACCACGCGTCTCGCACTCAGCGTGGTTTAAACACAAAACTCATGCTCTCAAAAGATGGCATGCAGCCAGTTTCCACCTTTAACAATTGCACTTTGTGACATGGAAATTACACGATGAAGCAGCTAATCAGAAGGCTACTAAGCAAATTATTGACGTACAGTATTATCACAATTTAACCCTCGGACGTACAAGCTAAGGTTTTTTTAAAATTTTTCAGTAAAAGTTGATTTACTCTCTGCATCGCAAAAGCAACCTTGAACCACTCATATACAGAGCAAACCTCTGTTTACAATGGGCAAATTACTTAAACACATCACGTTTGTATCAAGTTAAGACCATCTCTTTGTCAACCTTGCTTCTTATAGGGAACATTTTCTTAAAAGCCCACCATTATCTCTTGATTGGAGGAACTCTAAAAGTTGGGACTAAATTGAAATGTTAGGCTGTCAACAACTGTGGATCAAAGCTTTTTAATCTAGCAGACCAATAAGCTTGAAATAGTGTAAGTTACAGGGACCGTGTTGTTACATTTACCTAGGTGTGACTAAACAATCTGAGAAACCGCTAATTAGTTCAAAGAATCATCATGGAAAATTTTAAAATAGGTTAGAAACTAAAGATGTAATAAAAATAACTTTGTAAGTTATTCATTTACTCAGTTCAATTACACAGATGGTGAGGAAAGGAAACAATTGACGATATCTGCATAATTAGGCCAGTGTTTACAAAGCACTACCCACTTGATGTATATAACACATATGCTTACATCTAAACTGATTCTTGATGATGAGGGAGTCTATAGAAAAGCAACACAAAATGCTTGATTTTATAGATACTTAATTAGAATTGTGGTCAACTGTTACTTACAGAGCTATAATATCATTTAATTTGAATTTAATAGTCTAAACGATGAGAAATATATTTCATTATTATTATTATCACTATTATAGAAATTACTTAATAAATCTTATGAAAATAATCAAAAAAGTATAAACTTACAATATTTTAAAATCATTAGAAGAGGGATTGCAATCTGCCACTGCTGTCCTTTTGTCTATTATATATATATATATTTTTATTTCACACAGCACAAACACCCCAATTTATTACTACTGGTCATGAGAAACTGTCACCTAACTTGGCCCATTCGTTAGATTTACATGACTTCACCAGAACAGGGCAATGCGATTAAAACCTGAATGCAATTCAAAATCCTAGGTTCATAGCGCATTTAAGAACCATTTATGTTAAGGTAAAAAGGAACTCTGGAAAGTGCCCTCGTCCAACTTTAGTCTCATTGGTACTCTCAGAACTCTTCTCAAAACTAAAGGTGCCCCCTGAGCACAACACAGATTCTCTACCATCTTGAACAAAACAAGAATTGGCACCGGAGATGGAAGCTTCGAAACGGTATGAACAACCGTTCCTAATGATAGGCTCGTGACGTGTGTGCTTAACTTTGTTGTAACAAGGTATGGAGAGGGTAGAAGTTTAAATTTTGCGCAACTTTTCTTGGTATCATTTTGCTGCTTTTTAAACACAGATTGCTGTAACTCACGAGAGAATTTCCAAGCTTGAGGAGGCCAAGGAACATTGGATGCTAGAGTCTCAACTGCTGCAGGTCAAATATGAAAAGGAAGCTAAGGTTTGTTGATTTATGAAACGTTTTCCAGCTCATTGTTTTGTCAAAGGCCAGGGGGGCGTTAGGCCATGCGTAATAGTTGGAATTTCTTCGATTCGCGCACTTCAGAACACGTGCAACTCGAGGAGATAAACTTGAAACGTGCTTCTTAAAGGGCCCTAGTCAGCCACACCTTTGTTTTTGTTTAGATACGAGAGTTTGGCTATTATATTTTATTCGGAGCATGCCGAAACGAAGGAAATCACTTTCAAACTACTAAAGATAATCAAACATACTTTCAGGAACACAACTTACAGTGAAACAATACGATTTCGCTTCACCATGCAATATCAATAATTTCGATGGCATCAAAAATGGTGGAGGCTGACTAGGGTCATTCAAGGGAGCTCAGTCACGGTAAATTGAATTTTGAGTTGTTTTGGCCCCGTACAAAATTTCCTTTAAATTGANGGGAATAAACCCCACAAACTCTGTAGTTATTCCCCAGAGCCTCGCACTGAGGTCTATTGTATTTAGGCTGAATTTTAATTTATCGAAATTGGACAATTGTGTCCCTTTCTTTTAGCTTTGTTGCCCTCATTGGAATCTAGTTCTGCTCAGTTCTGCGACATTTATAGGTGTATCCACTATCGTCGTGGTGACCACTTGACATTGCTTGCAATAGAATGGCAAATATATCAGTCATTTCCTGCCTTATGGCTATATAACCTCAACCCAAGCACGGCGATTTGTTCAAATGGGGTATAAATGGTAACTGCTAGGGCAATGTGACAGAATACTGGGGGAGGGGGGATGATAACCTGTGATGGACTAGCATCCTCTCCAGAGGGCGGGGAAGTGGCAATATTCTTGGTCATTAGATGTCAAGGAAACCAGATTTATTTGGGCGCCAACACTGATGAACTTCCTTAGCTCATGTGTGCCCTATGATTGAAACAGACCGAACATTTCAAAACAACTTGTTACCATCTGTAGGATAAGTTGGGTTTCCTGTGTCTCGGATACGTCATATGATTGATTGATCGATCGATCGATTGATTGATTGATTGATTGATTGATTGATTGACTGACTGATTAATTGATTCGTGCTCGACTGACGGACGGACGGACCGATTGACGGATGGATTGATAAATGCATTGATTTAATTTTCCTTTTTTCAGGGAGAAGAGGAAGAAACCAGAGAAACACTGATCAAAAATCATTTTACGCAGAGAATAGCTGAACTCACTTCACAGGTCAATAGCGAAAAACTAGGTTCTAAGGTTTTGTTTTGTTGTCGTTGTGTCTTCATTTGTTTATGTTACACTTCTATCATCCTTGTCCATTATTTCCAGCGAGCGAGTGCGAAAAAAGGAGCAGGGGGAGGGGGTGGGACAATTCCTTACTTCCCCACCCTTAACCCTTTGTTTTTGCTCACTCCTTCCCCACTTCTCCCCATTTTTTTGCTTACCCCAGGCGCGCTCGTTTGCTCGCTTGCGTGCTCGAGCTCCCCGCCTGGAAAATGGAAAGTCTCTTTTGCAGCCCTTTTTTGAGCCATGCTGCAATGTTTTTCTCCACAGGCGAGTAGAAGTGTTGCGCGAAGACTAAAGTAACTTAAAATACTTGCTTCCTGTTTGAAGAAGCTTTTTTGCAATATACTCGTGCTCTGGTCTTCAAATAGTGTAAATATTTTTGGCAGAGTCAGGGGATTTCTGATGTACGATTAATCAGTTCTCTGAAAGTTATGTCATCTTCTAAGGTTGTTAAAGATAGATTCTTAACATGTCCGTTAGTTGACAGAAAGGTAACGGGTTTCCTGTAATTTTTCCCCAGGTTCAATTTACCGAGAGCAAGACGGTATCAATTACTGCAGAGGTAAACAACTTCTCTCGATTTCCTTTCGCATTCATTCTTTCTCTCGTTAAACTTTTTAGTTGTAACCCTGAGCGTTTGCGGACCTGGCGTGATTATAGTTACGTCACGCAATCTTCGGGGACGACCAATGTCACGAAATTTTAGACCTGGTCTAAAATTGAATGAAAGTTTGAGTCTGAGATATGTATTGAATCGATATGGTAGGAAAATAAGTACCAGGAACAGACAAAGCAATACGAATGGTTAAAACAGATATCAAACTTTTTACTTGATTTCTCAATGTGAACTAGTGTCGCGCTCTGTACCGACGAATGAAACAGTCCGAGAAGGCGAAACAAGAACTGGCGAAAAATCTCAAGACTGCAAACTCCAAAGTCAGCCAACTGGAGGTGAGTTAAGCATTGACATTGACTATTTCATGATTGCATTTTCACTTGTTCCTGTGAAGTATTTTTGCGTCAATTTGGTTACAATAATCGTGTTTCGTAGATATCTTTTAAAAGAAAATGTCCCGTTATTTCCACCCCTGCCAACTTGACTTCGCGTTCTGATATTTTCCCGCGCCTGGGTAAGGTTTGTTTATTTTCCCGCCTCTTGAACGCGGGTGTTAACATTTTCCCGCCTTGTTTTAGGACGAGGCGGAGACTATCAAGCGAAGCTACGAAACACAGTTGTCAATGATGAGCGACCATTTGTGTGGAATGAACGAAAAATTAACTTCACAGCAGGACGAAATTGAGGTGCTGAAGAGCGGCAAGCTTAAAAAGGGAAAACTGCGGTGACGAAAAGAAATTTTTATAACAAATTAAGACAATTATAATATGAAGATGAAAATATAGCGAAAATGTTATTATGGGTAAAAGAGATAACAGAAAGAACTTAGAGAACGGAATGCTAGTTTTTAATATGCAAAATGTTCTTTTGATACTCGCTTTTTTTACTGCGTTTTCTTCCAGTCGTTTTACGCTGAACAGAAATCTTATGACTAGTTCCTTCGGGTTGTGTTTGCCACCCTTTACAAACAAAAGTACCTCGCTGAAAAAGCGGTTTTTAAATTACTGTCTACACTTGCCACGCTTCTACTTTGCGTTTTGCCAAGCTTTTGATTGGCTCGAGAAACCCGTGCATCTTTCAGCGCGCACTAGCCAATCGGAGCATAAGTGTTTTCTTGTAAGAGCCAATCAGATACCGACGAGCGCGGTACGCGGCGCGATGTTTCCCGCGCTTGCCGCCAATGAACATGAATTTGCGACAGTAATTTGAAAACTGCTCTGTCAGCTGGAAATGGGTGAGAACCGATGTCACGCAACTCTTTCCGTAGATTAAGTCCATCGCCCAAGCCTTTCTCTTTGGCGAACGGCCGACATTCACAATCTCAACCTCGAGTCCCGCAGACGCTTAACATCCAGTTCAAAAGAAACCAATTTCCCCTCGTTTTACTGATCGTTTTTTCAGCCGTCATTTGAAAGTTATACAATGCTTCTGAAGGGAAGTAACGCAAAGCTTTGGCAAAGAACGGTTACGCGAACGAACCAAAGGAAAGGGCTTATTTGTGTTGCGGAAACTGTTTTCGCACTTTAAGGAAGGAGGTTGGTTTTAAAACTTGAAACTTGCGACTTGAAACGAAATGCCTTCTTTAGTTTTGGGTTGAAGGTTCTGTCCTTGTGTACCAGAATACAAGAATTACTGAATACAAAAGACCAAACCTAAAGGCCATAGCTAAACCATTACTCCTGAACAAGAAAAATAGGATAGTTAATCTCTTTTGTGCCGGTACACGAGGACAGAACCTTGTTAAGTTACAGTCATCGAAGATGGAGCATTTTACGGGGTAAGGAAAGTTTTCATGCACGAAAAAGATTAAAGTGTTTCTTCCTTATTAGACTTACGTTTACATTCGCCTTCCCAGATGACAACATACAAGTGAATACAAGTTCTCGCAG